GCTGTACACTGAACGACTTTTCAGGAGAAAAAAAGATTTTGGGTGGTGAACACAAAATGCAATACATAGATGATGCATTATAGAACTGTACACTTGAAACCTACATAATTTTACTAACCAATGTCACCCCAATAAGTTTAATAAAATTAAAAAAAAAACCTGTAGTACTAAAATACTATGGGTGGTCACAATTTCTCTTGATGGTCTTCAACTGATATTTAATTGTGACCTAGCTTGCCCTAGACACTTGATTCAATGAGGAAAAAGATAACTTCTCTTAAGAGCCTAGAGATGAGGTCAGCAAACTTTTACTACCAAAGGCCAGACAGTAAATATTTTGGGCTTTGTGGCCCATATGGTCTGTGTTACAACTACTTCACTACTGTGTTAGCATGAAAACAGCCATAGATAATATGTATACAAGTAGGTATGTCTATCTCCCACTAAAACTTTATTAATAAACATTTGAATTGACATTTTTATGTGTCACAAAATATTATTTGTAGTTTTAAAAACTTATTTAGAAATGAAAAAAAACAAAACCATTCTTAACTGGCTGGCCAAACAGAAGGAGGCATGGCACACGAGCCATAATTTGCTGACTCCAAGCCTGGAGGGTTCCTGTGGAATAGTAGGGACGCTCAAAGAAATATACAAAAAGGGAAATAACTTTTTCATGAAATGATTGGACTCACAGATTTTAAAATTAGAAATCATCTCAGATGTCATCTTCTTCAATTTCTCTTTAGTGCAGGAACTCCAGTCCCAGCACCGAACACGATAAAAACAAGGAGTATCATATAGCTCACAAACTAGTCAACTCTATGCTTATACCTTTAACTGGAAGAATATTCTTTCTTCACTACTGGAAATGTACAAATGGGCCTAGTCCCTCCCTCGTCTACATTACAGCTTGTCTAATATTTGAAATCATTTCAATTCTTATTCCTTCAAACATCCTTCAACTGCTCCCTTTTTCAGCAACTTCAATGCCCCCTCAAATGTTGTAGTTCCCAGCACCTTTCACCATCCAGACATTTTTCATGGAACACGCTCCCAAATCTTAAAGTTCCTCTTATACCATGATGCTCCTTTAAAAAAACTCTCTTCTAAAATTTCTCTCCTTTTTGTTTTCTTCCTGAAAGAATACATGTCCAACAACATCACTTTGTTTTATTTTGTTTCGATGCCATTTGGCACTATGACTGATGCTGAAATTATGGCCAAGAAAATCATTAAGCCTGATTCAATGAATTATTTATTGTTAAGCTTTAATTCTCTTGCATACCATACTTGTTAGATTGATTTTGAACTTTAGTGTGGGACTTCATTCCTATTAAAATTCATTTTTTGGCCTCTGCATTTTCTAGGTGGCCATAATCCTTTGCTACACTAATAATTCAATGTATTTGTTCTCCTTTCCAGCCAGACAAGCTGTTTTGATCTTCCTTCATGTTTTGGGTATTGATATTTCACAGGCCAGGCAGGGCCAAGGTCAGAATTATTATAGCCCCACACTAGAAAAAAATTAGGTCCAAGTCAGTTGGACAGAACTGCATCATAGTCTTCTGAGAGGCCTCTTTTCTGGTCTATACTGCTTCATTAATGAACACACCAAAGACAGAATAATTTAGCAAGTTAATTAATCTACCAGACATACCAAATAGCAAACATGTTTTTCATCTTGACTACGTTATAAAAATCTTCAACAAATTCCATGGTATAATCGAGATAACTAGCTGTATCACATACTGTTCCATAGAACCTTCGAGAATTGTGGTCTGTATTACCTTTCTCCTCATTCCATACCATCCCGTCTTCCTCAGGAATTCTTAGCTTTTCTCATAGAAAGAAAATGATTGCTTATTTTTCTAGGAAAAAAAAAATTCCAATATGACCAGTTATTTAATCTCCCCACTCTAATTATGAACTTTCCTTTTTATTTTTCATTTTATATAGTTTGTTAATTCCAGGGTCAATTTAAAGTGTTCTTGTAGCTCTATCTTTCTAAATAGTTTTGACTCTTTTTTCAGAATGTGTGTGCGTGTCTCTCAGTGTGTGTGCACGTGCTTATGTGGTTTGTTTTTACTTGCTTTTTCACTCTTAAAAGACAGATGACATAAGAACTGGAGAATAACAGGAAGGAGCAAGCTTCTAAGAAAAACATTTCAAAGCATATTCCTTAACTGATAGTGTCTCCCCCCTGCTTATCTTTCTGGCTGAAGAGCAATACATTTAAAGGTGGGCAACTCAATCACAAGTGAACATTTTCAAGAGACAATATTACCATTAAAGGAGAACTAGCAGATTTCTGAATGAAAAATAATCATGGTCAATATGATTTTTACTTACAAGAGACAACTATGTGCTATAGTTGCTTTTATAGTATAAATGTCTTAGAAAGAGCAACCTAGGTTTTTAGAGAATTGGGTAAAACTCACAGAGATTTATACAATTTCACATTTAAAACATATTTATATGTTTACAGTTTATTTCATTTGTCTGACCTCTCTGTCACACACTTTCTATTTTCATGCATTTCTTCTTCAATTTTTTTTTCTGAATCTCTTCAGAAAACACAAAACTGAGCAAGTGGGATTTGGAGATTTCGCACGGTCTTATCACTTTGCAGGCTAATTATGGTCCAGCGTCAGAAAGATCGGCAAGCATTTCTAACTCTTACAAATGCATTTATCAATAAGGGTACGCCTGCTCGTCAAGTGTGTGGCCCAAAGCCTTTAAGATTTCATTAATAATCAACAGCTGGTGCCACCTAGTGTCTATCCTCTCCATTCATCAGTGGAGTCAAATACAGAGCACTTCCTAGTCACAAATGAAGCAGCCTGAACTACAAACAAAAAACCCCACGGTTTGGGGAGTTCAGTGGCTGATTTAAATGACACCATCGTCATTGAAATAAAAAGCCTTCTTTTTAAAGTAACTATGGTAACAGGAGTGTGAGGCTAACAGGAAACCCACATTTTTCTCATCGGAGACAATTCACAAAAAGAGAGTTCTACAAAAGATGTAATGCAAAAGAGTTTTTCCAGACTTGAATGGTCACTTAAAATGGTTATAAAGTTGAAAAGGAAAATTGACAGAAGAGAACTGTATTGTTAAACAATAGTACAGATATAGAGGATTTTTATCAACCGCTCAAGAAATAACCCAGTATCATCTGGATTTAAAATTCTCTGTCAGTCTCTGAGCTTCCCCAAAGATTAAACAAGTACTCTCACAGACTGTACAAAAGCACATACGGTACTCAAAAGTATAAACAGGAAATAATTAGGTTGCCGGAACCACATTATTTAAAATATGTTTGCTGCTTAAACTATACATCTAGAACACTATTTTGTTTCCTGCTGTATGTAGGAATTATATATTCAACCACAGCCATGCATGCTTCAAGGTTAAAAAGTACTCATGAAAATCTCTATTTTTCAAAACATAAGCTAGCAATTAATTTGGATGAATCCAAGTAGTAGAATCAGCCCATGAGTTTCTAATTGATTCACTGATATTTAAATACATGTTGTCTTAAGTCACTCTTTCTAAGAGGAATACGTAATTGAAAAACGTGCACTAGCATTCAGGAAAAAAGTTACGTAACAGTAGTGTTCCTTGACTAGATTGACTGGGATGTCACCATTACTATAGAAAGGCTACAGCACATATGAGCAATATTGTGTACACCAAAAGGTCATATTAGATGCTCATCCATGATAGTTTAACTTGCATGATTTAGGTACTCAGGTTATTGGGGAGATGGGGAAGACAGCTGAAAGATTTTGTATTATATAGTTAACAAGCATGCTTTTCATACGCAGAAAAATTGATTTCTATATTATTTGACATCTGTTTTTAGCAATCTCTTGTTAAAAATAGCTTTGAATGTTTTATTTTCTTGTTACCCTAGTGGTGATAAAAATTATTTCAATATGTTTGGTCCGATATATGCTCCCTGACAGATACCCATGACAGCATATGTAGATAGAATATGGAAAACTATGCATACTTTCTACACAAAGCTTAAATTGTCCCCCTTTTCCACAAAACTTTATTTTTGGAGCCAAACACAGTGCAGACTCATGCTTCATTTGTTTAAAAGTACTTATAAGTATACTCCACTGATTATATGGGAAAAATATTGCAAAACAGCAAAAGGGCTCTAAAAATTGTATTCAGGCAAGACAGCATGTAAGACAAAACTCATGAAGGTTCCAAAATAATGAAATAAATGTTCCAATTTTCAATAATTTATCATTTTTCTGTCATTTTCATTAACAGCCTTCAAAGCCCTATCTGAAACAAGCTGATACAGAGAAATTAAGAGCAGTAATCAAGCGAGAAATGATAGACCAGCTGGGTCGACATCAACTTGGCAAAACGTGAATATAGTTCAATAGCTGAAACAGATGCTAGAGTTGTTGAAAAACCCTGCAGGAGATATTGATGTATTTTCTTCATATAATGCAGAATAACCGAATGAATGTCAAAAGCTAGAAATTGATGAGGAGAAAAGACTGACAGCCAAACTCCTTGTAAAACAGAAACCAAGTGTAACAATTTCCAACCTATTCAAACATTCTATACATTTATTTCTCTCGGTGTCTGAATATGCCAATATATCAATCAGTCCTTGTAACTAAACTGCATGTAACTGAGCTGGGGTAGATTTCCCCATAGATTTTTCACCTCTGTCATCATCTACCTGGAGAAACCTAGACTCTTGAAAAACACTTTATTCTAAAATCTTCTAACACTGATTTCTATCCCAGAAGTGTTTCCCTGAGGTTGGAGGCAAGCACACCCCCCAACAAATCTAACGCAGCACAAGGAAAATTTCAAATCCATTCTGTAAAAGCAACACTGTTTGCAGAGTTTGGAGAGCTCAGCAACAAACCCCAGCTACCAACAGCTGCTTGTTCAAACATATGCTTTGTCATGGTCAGCTTCTAATTGTATTCATAATGATGTAATAGCTTTAATAATCCTACCTTCCATGCCAGCTGTTTTTCCTGTCACTCCATCATGCCAATAAGTTGGCTGCTGTAACAAATCAAGATAGTGCAAAACAGCATCTTTCTCCTGATTCTGTCATCTTCCTGAAAGCATTCTATTACTGCCGACTGCTGGGAACCAGAAAGTCTATTTGAATTCCAACAGCTCCCCTTTCGCATGATTCAAGTTAGGTTAGGTGGGCATGCCTAACATGATTCTCTCAGTCATTTATTATGCAGCTGCTACAACGTCGGTGTGGTAACCACTCTGACTATCTGATACGTCAGTTGAACAAAACCTACACCTCAGAGCAAACACGAGCCCGAGCAGCGTTCTGCATTTAACGAGCATTCTCCCTGCCTAAAAAACAGTGGATCTGCAAATCTCTTTCAGTATCTACTCGGTCCTCTGTACAGATGCAAAGCCTTTGGATTACATTCTTCTCCTAACTATGTCGAGAGTGGAGTTCCTTTGCCACACATCATATTATTCAAACTGAAATTTTGGCTGATTTTCACTTATCTTCACAGCCTTTTAAGGGTAAAACTCTCTATTCTGATTGTACTTTTGAAATCAGGATGCTGCGTGCTCAGCTCCACATCTCTGCTTCATGATAAAATATAGCATGCACTTTCTCAAATGGAATTTGCCTCTTGTGATTCTATGGAAATTTTTCTAATAAGAGGATTTTTTTTCAAGAATATTCATTTTGCACATTGGGAGACATTTAAATTCTGGTACTCTGTGTGTTTCTCCCACAAGTAGACTTTATAGTTGATATTTTCACTTCAGAGGAATGCTTTCTTTTGAAAAGTAAGAAATTGGTTTAGGTGACTATCTCACACAACTTGCTTGCCAAGTAAATAAGTGACATTTAAAAAAATGCATTTGTATTTGAAAAATACCATGCATGAATTGGTATTTTTAAAATTATAATTGCCATCACCTCTACAGTATTAATTTTATGTAAAACTTCAAAGATTGCCTCTCTAGGGGGATTCATAGCTATAGTTTGAAATGATGAAACAGGAAAATTTAAGTTTTTATGAGAAAAATACTTTAAAAGGGGGACTTTTCAAATCCTATGCTTGCGTTCAAGCATCTATTAGATATTCAGCTTGGCAAGGAAACTATCCCCCACCCCCACAACAAGCAAACAGCTTGTTGGGTAGCTTCATTATGAAACTATAAGCAATAATTCATTTAGCTTATGTGAGATATGCAAATGCCACTGCTCTGAAATACTGGTTCCCTAAGGGTGTGTGTGTGTGCGTGTGTGTGTGTGTACATTTTATAATAGCTATTCTCTCTTTTCCAATTTTTTATGTAACACACAAATAATCCCTGTATATATTAGGAAATGTATAAATCAGTAACTTATAATTTATTATGTTTAATTTATAAATGCTAGAAAAAAAAACAGAAAGACAAATTGAATCCATTTGAATTCACCGAAGTTTCTCAGAAATATTATGCACATCATCTACATAACAATTCTGCAAATACTGATTTATCAATTACTGTTATTTTTTAAAAATCACCTTTATGGTTAGCATTATCTATCTCAGGGCTTGTGAATGGCAGAAATAAATACCCTGTGGTTTTGTTCCTAACCTTAGCTTCTGCTTACCTCTCTAGCTTCAATGGTTGTCTCTCCTCCTTCTGTTCACACTTTATTCCAGCTACAACGGACATCTTTTTTTCCTCTAAAACACTGTGCTTCTTACTGTCTCAGAGATATTGCATGTTCTGTTTCACCTTTTCGTAAGCCTCCCCTCACTTCTGATTGCCTACCTTCCATCCAATCTTTAGGTATCAGCTTGAAACATAATTTGCTATGTGAGGCATTTTTCATTCCCTAGATAAAATTATATTCCTCTGCATCCAATTTCATAGCGCCTTCTACTTCCTTTGTCTTCATCATAGTGTCAAATACTTATACAACCGAAGGTGGTAGGTACTATTCTCACACATACATGCAACACACTCCTATATGCACGCCTATACATGTATGTATGTATATCTGTATGTATCTATTGCTACAATATTGATACTTATTTAATCTTCATACTAAACCTATGAGGGAGACTATTATTACATGCATTTTACAAATAAGGAAACTGACGCTCTGAAAAGTGAAATAACTTCGCTGGGTCACACGATTTTACTTAACTGTTTCTATTTCCTGTTATACTGTTAGTTCTTGACACTGGAGATCATGTTTGTCTTGCCCATTGCTAAATTCTAAAGTCCAGGGAAGTATTTGAAAAATTGTATTTCATTCATCATTCATTCAGTAGAACCTGTTTTATGCAATACACTGTCATATGGCAATGATGAAAACAGACACAAATCTTATTTCCTGAAGCTTTAGGGCAAGGACAAGAGCTGTACACTCAAGTGAAGGGTTCATGGATAGAATTCAGGCATCTATTAACTTGAATGCGAAAATAGTACAACTTCTTTTTATTAACTTCTAACAAAAGTGTAGCATTATTTTCATTTATGTTCATAGGCTGTTGACTGTAGTTGCATGAACAGTCCCTGTGAATCTGTCACTAATAAAATTCAAAAGTTTTTCATATCATTTTATAGATGCTGCATGTATCTCACAATATTATTTTTCATTCAACATTACTTTGAAATTATGGTTCTTATTAGGCCCAACACTATATCGTGTTATTTAATGTGTTAATAAGGAAGTACAAGTAGGTGTATATTATTATATCAGAGCTTTAAAAAGATTTAGAATATTTCAAGACAACTGTTTTCTGTTGTAATCCTAAATATGTTATTTTGTATTTTTAAATATAATTCAGACAAGTTTCACCAGCTGTCAAAGGTCTTAAGGTGTTAGGGCTTTAAGCTTCACCAGGTATAAAAGGGGTTCATGCTAGAACCCCTGGCCTACAAGATGGGAGAATATAGCACACTGGTTAATATATTGTCTCCGAAATCTGATAATCAGGGTTTATATCACAGATCCATGGCTTAACATTGATGTGTTGTAGGGTAAGTTACTTATCCTCAGGTTACTCTCCTGTAAAATAGAAATAATAATCTCTTTTGCACTATTGCTATGAGGATTAAATAAGAGAATGATTGTAAAATATAGTACAACGCCTGACATCTTTTAAACGTTTAATGGCTGTTAGGTGTTATTAGTGAGAGGGCCAGATACGAAATTATCATGATAAATAAAAACTGAAACAGATACAAAAGGGTTTACAAAGATTTTTAGAACAGGAACTAGAACTGTCTCACACCACTGAAGGAAATGGCAAATGGCAAAAAACACTTTGAAAAACAGTCTGGCGGTTTCTTACAAAGGTAAACATATACATAAGAGCCAGCCTTTTCACTCTGACAGAAATGACAGCAAATGCATATTTAGAAAACCTTGTACATGAATATTCATAGCAATTATATTTGTAATAGCCCCAAACTGGAAACAACCCACACGTCCATCATTATGTGACTCGATAAACAACCGTGGTATTGCTATACAATAGAATGCTACCTTGCCATGGAAAAGACTGGACTATTGATATATGCACCACCATGAACGAAGCGCAAAAGAATTATGCTGATTGAAAGAAGCCAAACCAAAAGAGTATATATTATGTGATTTCACTAATACAAAACTCTAGAAAATACAAATGAAACTGTAGCAACAGTAGGCAGATTAGCTGTTACCTAGGGAAGGCAGGGATAAGGAACAGAGAGGAAGGGTTACAAAGGGCTGTGAGGAAACTTTTGAGATGGTGGATATAGCCATGGATATAGCCACTATTTTGATTGTGGTGATGGTTTCATGGAGGATGATGGATGGATGGATGGATGGATGCAGAGATATCAAAACATATCAAATTGTACATTCCAAATATGTACAGTTTATTATATATCAATTATACCTAATAACACCTTAAAAAACTATTTTACCAAACTTTAGATCATTCATAGCAACGTAATTAAAAAGTTAAAGTAACACACTATTACCTCCTTAAAAGAGAAGTTAATCTACAAAATTGCATCATAAATAATGTGTGCTCTAAATAGTTCTATCAACTGCATATAATAACCGTGAACTTCCTGAGAAAATAATTTTCCCCACCATCTGCTATTTATAGTTCTTCATCTTATTAGTGAACAGCATGGAAATGGATTTTTGTCCAATTACAGAGAAAAATTTTGTCCTATTCAACATATACAATTTTGTTAATTTATTATGAGCATATAAGCCAGTAAAATAAAGTATTAAGCTGGTTACAAAATGATCACCTGCATAAAATCTAAGGTATTGATCAATATTAGCTTGTTGCCATATAATTCCATGTTATAGACAATTTGGAATAAGCTTCCTTTGTTAACTAACGATTAAATAATGAAGGATTTGATTTTATAAGTTACCCTCATTTCTCTGCAACAGATATCATATCAAACTCAATGAATATTTTGAGGGAAAGATGACTGAGGCAAAGCCAATTGTATCCATGTGACAATAAGACTGAAAACAATAAAACACATCTCCATACAAAGTTTTCTCATATGCTATATTAAACGTGGTGAGATGGTAAAAAATTTAGCCTGATCATTGAACTTTTAAAAATTACCTCAGTGAAGTTGCAGTTGGATCAATGAAACCCAGAAAATTATGCCTTCATATTTTGAACCTAACATAGCACCCCTCCCCAGTCCAGATTACTCAAAAGATACCAAGATGTTTCACACACACACACACACACACACACACACACACACACACACACACACACACACAGATCATGGCACTGTCTCCAATCTCTCCACTGACTTCTCATCACCCTTAGAGCAAAAACCCTTATTGTAGCCTGTTAAGAAACCGAGTAACATGCCACTGCCACTCCTTTCTCCTCTTGTCTCCCACACTGCCCCCTGTACCTTTCCTTATTTTTCTCCAATCATAATGACTGGATTTATTTCTCTTCAAACATCCCATGCTAATTCCCACCTTGGGACATTTTCATTAGCTCATACTTCCTACAAGGAATGTCCTTCCATAGAAACTGCAAGGCTTACTCCTCTTCATCCAGGACTCTGGCTCAAATGTCACCTCAATAGAAAGCCCTTTGTGGATTTCTCTAAAATAACACTTCCCCGACCTTAATCCTTCCCTATTCCTTTGCCTTGCTTCACTTTT